ACATATGACTATAAATGAAAACGCCTAAAAGTAGCAAATAAAAATATTGAAAACTACTATAATCTAATGCAGCCGCAGCGGAGTCAAACTATAAAGCTGTAGCAACCACAGTCACAGCAGCAACAATCTATAAAGCCGTAGCAACCACAATCGCAGCAGTAACAATCTATGAAGCCACAACTGCAGCAGAATCAAGGTATGCCAGAGCAGGATTGAGACATTCTAGAGTGGCAAGATCAGAGTGTCGAAGTCTCATTTGAGCTTAGTAAATCTGAATGAGGCCTTCTACAGAAGTTTTGCAATAAAATAGACAAATTAAAACATAATCTTTGCCTTATATGCAATGAGAGCTTTCCGTCCATAGTGCTTATAAAAGGAGAATGCCGCTGCTGTTATAGTGAAAAGACTTACCCAAAAAAATTCTCTGCAGAAAATAGCATGGATCCCAGTGATATACCTAATGAACTCCAAGGGTTTACAGAAATTAAGGAGATGTTGATTGCTAGAGTCTTTTCTGTAATGTCTGTTTACAGACTTTGTGAAGAATAATGTGGATATCATGGAAATGTAATCAACTTTCCCAAGATGTACAAGGATTTGCTACTCACCTTTCTCGACATCTATCATTATTAGATATACTTGTTGTATGTTGTGAAACTACAGATAATTCGGCGGCATTTAGCGATTTTACTGTCCGTCATGTCAAAGTTGCTCATGTGCTACACTAGCTAAAAGAGAACAATCGTTATTATACTGATATTATAATAGATGATGAGGTTCTTTATTCTTTACCTACCAGTAGATTTATTAATGACTGCCTTCAGAATACTCAAATAGTTACTGAGGATTTAGATAATGAAGATGAGGGTAATGAAGGTGATGCAGTTACATGCACTTTTATTCCACTTTTTCTTTCAACTTGTCGTGAAGATGTCACTATTTAAAATACTCTTGATTGCGTGCAAAACTAAAACTACCCTATAGAATGGCCGCAGATCAGCAATAATCCTGTCAATGAATTCCAAACACTAGGGTATATTGCATGCACGTTCCCAATATTATATCCAACTAGATGCACAGATCTTTGTGCAGAGCAAATTAGAGACGTCAAACCTGCTGAATACTTTAAACATCTGCTTTTATAAAAAGACGGGAGATTTGCACACTATCCTCGTTGGCGATATTTCACATTGAATTCCTAGATGCGATGGCAAGCACTACAGGAAGGGAAAGTATATGTTAAGCAAAACCTAACCGATTCTCAAATTACTGTCACAGATATTTAGGAGAGAATAATTCAAGGTGATAATCATATTGCTGATAGAATTATGCGATTTGGCGAAGGGCTGTGTGGATCTCGGCAGTTTTGGAATGCAAAACATTGGGAACTTTCAGATATGATTAAGCAAATAGGATCACAGGGCTTGATCTTCTTTACATTTAGCGCTGCTGATTTGCACTGACCTGAACTCCACAAGCTTATACCATTTAGTTTTACAGAAAGAGAGACCAATAACCAAAATATCGTCGATAATCCTCATATTGCTGTTTGGTTCTTTAACAAGCGATTTGATTTATTTTTTAATAATGTTTTAAAATGACAATGGAATTTAGAGGATTTGTGGTACCAATTCGAGTGGCAGTACCGTGGTAGCGTTCATGTTCATAGAATCAGAAAGAAATGCAATGCATCTATAATAGAATAGGAATAAATGCAGAAAGACGAGAACGTTATGAATGAAGTAGTATGATACCTTGATTCTCTGATTATCACGATAAACCTAAGGATCAATACGCCTATTTCTGATTAGCATTTATGTAAAAAGCGTAAAGACGAAATATGCAATGATCAACAGGATTACGTTGAACTGATCAATAAGCTGCAATGACATATATGATGCAGTCCTTTGTATTGCCTTCATGTTAACTGAGATGGTCAGTAATCTTGCAGATTTAGATACCCTAAAGAAAATGTTGAGAATACTTTTGTACGTGATGATGGTTGTGGTCAACCTAAGCTTGTAACAAAAAGGAACAATCTATTGATCAATTCGCATAATAGGCTTCAACTGCAAGATTGGTGAGCAAATTTTGACCTAAAGCCGATTTTAAGTATCCATGCTGCCTTGCAATATATATCAAAATATGCAAGCAAAGCGGAACC